AAACATGGAGTCTAGTACCACCTCCCTTTGGCTATCATGTTGCAGGAGGTGAGACAAAGCATCGGCCAGGGAGTTTGACTTGCCTGGGAAATGGTGCAACGTGAATTGAAACTTTGAGAAAAAATCAGCCCACCGAAGCTGCTTGGCATTCAAGTTGGGAGGGGTGCGGAGCACTTCGAGGTTTTTATGATCAGTTCAAACCTCAAACGGTACTCGCGCCCCCGCCAACCAGTGCCTCCATGTGGAGAGCACCAGTCGGATTGCTCCTGCTTCTTTATCCCATATGGATCAATTTCTTTCTGTGTCATTAAATTTGCGGGAGACATATGCCAGGGGATGGAGCTTGCCATCTGCCCCTTCTTGCAAGATTGCACTCCCCATAGCGACATTCCACACATCCACTTGGACCACAAATTTTTTCATTTGGATGCGCCAACACCAGTTCTGTTGTAAACAGAGCCTTTAATTGATTGAACGCTTTTTGGCAATCGGGAGTCTACTCCAGTCTTGCTCCGGGCTTAGTAACATCTGGCCCCTTCCCTTTGGTTTTCAATAAGTCAGTCAGGGGCAGACTCACTTGGGCAAAGTTTGGCAGGAAATGTCTATGGAAATTAGCGAAACCTAAGAAACTCTGAAGCTGCCAGCAAGTTTTGGGAGCCTCCCACCCTAGCATGTCTTTCACCTTCCCTGGGTCCATCTCTATCCCCCTTTGAGAGATATGATAGCTGAGAAAGTCAATTTCAGTCTTATGGAATTCGTAGTTTGATAGTTCTTAGCAAATAGTTTATGCTTATGTAATGTCTGTAGCACCTCTCTCACCAACTGCATATGAGAGGCTTTATCGGGGGAGTACAATAAAATGTCGTCCAAGTAGACCAGGACCCCTTTGAACAGGTACTTGTGCAACACTTCATTTATTAGGTTCATAAAAACTCCCAGAGCCCCCTGGAGGCCGAATGGCATCACCAGGTACTCGAACTGGCCTAGGGGGGTGTTGAAAGCTGTCTTGTACTCATCCCCCTCCCGTATGCGCACCCGAAAATAAGCATCTCGCAAATCAAGCTTAGAAAAGATCTTTCCCTTGGCAGCTTCAGCCAAGAGATCTTTGATAAATGGCATGGGGTAGGCATACATGGATGAGACTGTATTCAATCCACGATAGTCAGTACACAGTCTTAAACCCCCCTCTTTCTTTTTCCAGAAGATGACGGGGGCTGCAAACGGGGAAGCAGCTGGCCAGATAAATCCCCTGGCCAAATTTTTATCTATAAACTTCCACAACTCTTTTTTCTCACCGAGGCTCATAGTATAGAGCTTCCCCTTCGGCATTTTATGCCCTGGCAATAACTCGATCGCGCAATCAGAGTTGTGGTGGGGTGGGAGCCCATCAGATTCTTCCTCTTCAAACACCTGTGTTAAGTCTCTATACTCCCTCTTTCATCGAGGATCCATCCATTTGGGTAAAAATTAAGGGGTCAGCCAATCTAACCACGGCCGCCTCCAGTCCCGACACTAAGGAGGGGTTGATCAGATCCCGCCCGCATCCTGAGTCAATGAGGCACCAGACCCTAATGTGTGTTTCCATGGTGGGGTTCATGACTGTAACACTCACAAAAAAAAGGGGTGGATAGCTGCTCACCACTTTAGGCACCTGTGTGGATGGGTCCTGCTGCACTGCGCCACTTACAGCAGGACCTGGTCTTTTCCTGATGGTTCCATCTCTTCCTCCTCGCTTCATCCTGGCTCGAGCACTTCCACCTCAGCTTGCAGAGCATGGGGGGGTTCTGATTTTCGCTGTCCGCTTCTTGGAGGGCATGTCGACTCGCCGCTTGTCACCTTCTCTTCCCGCCAACCCTGTAGCCTTCCCCACAGGGCAGTTGGCCATGAAGTGGCCCCATTCCCCACATTTCAGACACAACCCGTTTCATCCGCTGCTCTCGGACCGAGACTTTTGGCGGGGCTGGTTTTGCCTTTGGGTGGGGTGTCGCTGGCACCCTTTGCACCCCTACCGCATTGTCCAAACGCATAGTGCCAGTCTGCTTTCGGCATACTCTGCCTCCTGCATCCAGGTGAGCAAGGTTCTTGGGTTCCTGGAGCTCATGACGGTATTTTGGATTTTAGTATTCAGTATTCAGTCCCAACCAGTACTGCTGAGCTAGTTCTAGGTTGGACCAGTCATGAATTTTGGCAGCTTGCCGTTGAAATTCCGTCGAGTATTCTCTCACTGTTAATTTACCTTGCTTAAATGTGCGGAGGAACACTTCCGCCTTCTTGGGAGTGGTGTGGTCCTCGAATCGGGCTCGCAGTGCCCACATGAACACATCTACGCTCCCCAGCTCCACCGCATTCAAGTTCTGGAGACTCACATACCAGCTTGTTGCCACCCCCCAAGATCGGGAAGCGATAAAGTCCACCTGTTGTTCCTTGTCTGGGAACAACTGAGCCCACTGTTCCACAAACTTCATCACCCGCACAATAAAGGAGGATACGCTTTCTGGATCACCATCAAAGGTAACATCCAGTAAATCCTTGGGTTGCGGCATGGCTGGTGGAGCCACCCAGACCACGGTTAGCGACCCCAGGGGGGGAGGAGGTGGCAGCGGCGCTGGCAGCGGCGGTGGAATCGGGGGGGAGAGGCGGTGGTGGCAGCGGAGGAGGCGGCGGAGGGATCGGCGGGCCAAGGAGGGATTACTGGGGAGCCCCATTGGACGGCCAGCTGAGTCTGCACCGCCTGGGCCACTGTTCTCGGTAAGGTCTGGAGCAGTTGCACCATATCCCGCATTATTGTGTGGCATTCCAGTTCCAGACCATCCAGCCTCCCATCTACATCCCTTCCCGGGATTAACAAAGACCTCGATGGGAACATGATGGGTCTGCTTGGGATCACTCCGAAGCTCCCCAAGCTCAGCCGGGGGTCATACACACTGTGCCGACTCCAACTCCCTGGCACCAACCAAGTAGTCTGCATGGAGTTTCACAAATTGCGGCCCCAATCCCGATCCTTGCGGCGGTAGGTTACTCCCTTCCCCAAATGCACTGGGATATGCATTGGGATTTTGGGCAGGGGCCGGGGAAGCCGGCAGCGGGGCTCTCCTGGCGTCCCTCGAGCCACAGCGCTTATGTGCGGGCCCGGGGGATGCGGCAGCGGGACTCTCCAGCCTCCCCCGAGCCGCAGTGCTTCTGCACGGGCCCAGAGAACACAGCGGCGGGGCTCTCCGGGCTCCCCTGAGCCACAGCACTTTTGGCACAGGGAGATAGGGGCGGGGCTTGCCGCCGCCACCATTAGCACGGGCTCCTGGGTTGCTGGAGTGGCGCTCTGGTGTGCTCCGGCCCCAAAAGACCCCTGGGCATTGGCACCCAGTTACCATGCTGTCGGGCAAGAAATCATCCCTGTGAAAGTGTCTAATGTGTTTTGGGTCTTTCCCACAAATGGTGAAGTGAAGTTGGATTAAAACAGACTTTTTTTGAAATGAGAACTAGAAATGTCTGAGGCAGAATGAAGCCAGATAAATGTATGAAACAAGGAAAGGGCAGGTGGCTTAGGAACGATCTGAATAAATATTGCACGTTGTGAGAGGGAAGCCTTCTGTCCCCTTAGTTTGGTACAAGACATCCCTCCAGTTACTTTTCTTTATACAGACTGATGCCCTAATTGGTCTTCACATTTCCCCCCATTTCCTATTCAGCTAGCATTAGCATAATTATATGTTTAAATAAATACTATGTTAAAAGTGAACTCCCAGTTTGTTCAGTTTGTACTAATGGCATTAGCTTTGATGTGGGTTACCCCAGAGTAATTTTAATGCTGTCATTAAGAAACAGGAATAATCAGGGTGGGGGAGGGGGCAGGCAGAATTGTCAATACAATTTTTAATTCACCTGAGTTTATATTGGTTAGAATTATTGCCTGCCCTCATTGACTTGACTGAAGGCATTTCAAAAAGCACATTTGGGAGATGCCTTTTACTGCTGTTGAGCAAAAGGAAGGGACGGCTAGGGGCATAAAATTCTATGGGTCTGAGCTCCTTCTTGGAATTGGGAAACCAAACAGTCCAGTGGCCCATCAGAGAAAGGGTTAGAGTGAGAGATCTGTGATTCTCAGAATGTTTTCCCCTCTTACCCCATCCCTCCCTTGAGCACTCCTAGTCCAGCCCTTCCTTGATATTCCATGCTTTGTTTTGCTTTGTTCTGGGTTGTGTTGGTTCATTTGATATAATGTATGTATGTAGAAAATAGAGAAAAGAAATGGGGTATCATATGTGTAATAAGAAATTCATTGTATGGAAGGAAGGAAGTAGTACCAGGTAGTAGGTCCTGCTAAACCATCTGAGATCATTCCTAAACTCACTTGTTCCTCACACAGAAGTTTCTCCCCTGTTTATGCCGCAATTATGTTTACTGTAAGCCACTTCATGTCCCCATTGGGAAGGCATGTGGGAAATAAATAAATATGCTGCACATGGAATATCCAGAACATCATACGCAGCCCCAAAGTTATACAGATTACTTCCCACCAGAGGCCTGGTGTTGGCTCTCACCCAGAGGTCATTTCGGGGGGGAATGTGGGGGAACGCAGTCCCCCCGGGTGAGGTGCAGGGGGCGGGGCACATGACAAAGCCCCGCCCCCTGCTTCCGGCCGCCCCGCTTCCAGCCCTCATTCAGCCAGGAGGAGGCAGGAGAAGAGGGAGGGTAAGTTGCTTCCTCCCCGCCTCTCCCCACCCCTGCCTGCCTGGGGCCAGGGAGGGCCTTGGCGGGGCTTCCTTGCACTCCCGCTGGCCTTGCAGGTCCACTGCTGGGCCCATGATGTCAGGGTGTGTGGCATATGCTAATGAGTTATGCTAATGAGTTCCCCTAGCTCTTTTTCTACGAAATGACCCCTGTGTGTTACCCATTTACTTCCCCCTCAAAATCAATGCTTCTTTGGGCTTTTTTGGGTGGAACTTTGACAAGGCTTAGAATGAGACCTCCTGTATTCCTGTGTTTCTGCCATTAGGGAGAAGATGCCATTCCATCATGTCACAGCTGGCTTGTTGTACAAAGGAAACTACCTGAACCGGTCTCTCTCTGCTAGCAGCGACAGTGAGCAGTTGGCCAACATCTCCGTGGAGGAGCTGGATGGTAAGGAGGAGACCTTCTTTCCCCATGGGAGACGTGGTGGGAACGTCTACTTTTTTTAAGGCAATTTCTTAGAAATACACGGGGGAAGCTGAAGGGAATGAAATAATAATAATAATGAAAATTATTTCATAAATAATATTTTTTGAAGTTAATTGCGTCATAGAAATAAATATAATATAAACAATTGTAGAATCAGCATTTTAGGTTGGCACATGCACTCAGCATTGAAGTTACAATAGCACAAGCAGAGAAATATAAAACTAAATTTAGGCAGAACTTAAAAAAAATCTTTGGTAAAATAATTCTTAAAACTTGGCATTAAAAACTATATAGGGGTGTAGTCTGGTGTTTCAAGGGGTAGGAAAGGTCCTGCTTCAAAATAGCCAGCATGGTGTAGTGGTTAGATTCACCCTGCCATGGAGGCTTAGTGGATGACCTTGGTCCAGTCATTACTGCTCTCCCAACCTAATTTACCTTTCATGGTTGTTATTGTAAGGATAAAGAGGAGGAGGAGATGTTGTAAGTGGTGACCAGAAAAAAGCCTACAGAAAAAAACCCATGGCCATAAATGCTCACAGGAAAAAATCCCACGTGGAAAAATGCCCACATGGAAAAATAGCATGTAAAGCGCCATAGATATTTATAATTGTGGATAACCATTCATCTCCATTTATGAGAATGAACAGGTATTACCTGTATTCACATGCAACAATTTGTGTTGTGATTTCATCAAGTATAATCCTATATATATAATTGTCTTACACGTTGGCGATTTCCAGCTCTCCCATTGGCTGTGCTATACACTCCATCAGCCATTGGCCATTCAATCGCCACTCAAAAGTACTTGTGTGCCATTGGCTGGGGGCTGGGTCCACTCCTGTGGGGACTAATTTATCCCTCAGTGGCTGTTGCTAGGCAACCAAGCTTGGTTCTGTCAGTAAAAAGACAAAGGAAGGAAACCCTGTCCAGGCCTTTGTGAGGAACTCATTGGGGCCAGGCCTGACTAGGGTTGCCAGCACCAGGTTGGGAAATTCCTGGATATTTTGTGTTGGGGTCTACAGAAGCCAGAGTTTGGGGGGGGGGAGAGGCCTCCGCTGAATAGAATGCCATAGAGCCCACCCTCCAAAGTAGTTATTTTCTCGGGGGGGGGGAAGAGATCTGTTGTCTGGAGTTCAGTTGTGATACCTGGTGATCTTCAGGCTCCACCTGTGGGTAGGCTACCCTAGGCATGGTGGTTAGCGCTTCAGAGCAGGGTTTGCTAGACCCAGGTTCTTGCTGTAGAAGTTGAGAAGGTGATTTTGGACCAGTCACAGACTTTCAGCCTAACCTTCCTCACAGGCTTGTTGTGCAGATCAAAAGGGGGAGAGGAGAATGATGTAATCTGTTTTGGTCTCCACTGTGGAGATTCCTCCTGGGGAATCATTGCTGCCAATCTCCAGGTGAGGGCTGGAGATCACTCAGAATTAAAACTGCTCTCCAGATGGTGGACATCAGGGGCAGATAACGGTACGTTGATGGTTGGCTGGGAAGGAGATAGGGTTGCCAACTCCATGTTGAAAAATTCCTGGAGACTTGAGGGGTGGAGCCTGGAGAGGGTGGGGTTTGAAGAGGAGTGGGAACTCAGGTACAATGCCATAGACTCCACCCTCCAAACCAGCCATTTCCTCCTGAGAAACTATTGTTGCCATTTTCCAGATGAGGACTGGAGATCACTAAGATACCTGGCTGTTTTGAAGACCTTTTTGCAGGCATACTATTTTCTAGTTTTCCCACAACCCTATGAATGAGAAACAGAATTTGAAAAACCATGCTTTACTAAATTAAAATATTTCCAGCATCTAATTTTTGCAAGAGGAAAACGTGTGGAGAGCTTATATATGTAAAAAGTCTTGCTTTCTTCAGGGCCTGGATAATAAAAGGCCTGGTACACACCAAGCTACTCCTTTTATATCTCTTGTCCCTTTATAGAAGGCCCCCTTAGGTTGGTAGCAGGCCAATCGGATAGAATCAAGGTACAATTTCTCCTTGCGTCACGAGATCCGGAGATCATTGAACTGACCGCTAAGTTTCTCCATGGTTTTATAAAATGGAAGAGTGACCCTGATCATATTAATGTTTCTTAATTTATAAGTCTAAAAACTTAAGTTTAAAAGTTTAGAATGCCAATTTATTTTATGATTCAGGCATCTTTTGTATGGTCAAATCTAGCTTGTGACAACTTGAGTTAGGCCTGACATAGCCACGACTATCTATTTTATAATTTCTTTTGGATTATATTATTGGTAAATGCTTCTAATATTGTATGCCAATAAAAGGTATTTGAATTGAATTGATATCTCTGGTCCCATTGTGAAACTAAAAGATCAGCCCCTCCCAACTACAGGGACTGGTGTGATCCATCAGGGTTCTTCTTATGTTAATTATGTTACCCAGCTTCCTCAGCTGCTGCCACTGCCTCCTCCTCTTTCTCTTTCCTAATTAGTAGAAGTAGTTAAGGCCTCATAGATCTATGAAGCTTAGCTTAAGATAACAACCATAAGACAACATTAAATAACAAATAACAACAGAAGTGGCAACCATGTCCTGTAGTGACCTTAATTTTCTATTCCACAGCAGTCATCCCAGTGTGTGACAATACTCCCTCTAAGATGTGGAGTCCTGTGAGCAAAAATTCTACATTGTGAGCTACTCGCACAGTTTGGTTTGTGGTTCGTTCCATGCATGGTTCACAAACCACTGTCACAAACCTTTTTGTGCTAGATGAAACAGTTTGGGTCATGAAATGATAGAATGCCCCCCCCCCCAGTGACACCAAACTCACAGAGATCTCCT